TTTTTGAATTTTTTTTTTGTGATAAAAATATTGCACAATGAAACAAACAATTAATATTGTTAAAAACGATAATATTTCAAACATACAAGCTAATTCAGTACTGGAAGGTACCATTGTTCTGATCAGTGATATTTCCAATTTACAACTTGACAGCAAAAGCAAATTTTGGACGGCTTTGTTGTGCGACAAAGATCAGAAAATCCATCGAATAACAAAATATTTATCATCAACAGGAACATATGCATGCTTCATACAAAACTGATTGAACATTTTAACAATAATCTGGTGTCAAGTTAAACAAGTTGAAAATTAATGGTGAAAATGCGTATGTTGTTACATCAGGAACGATAGCTACAACAATAAATCTATCATTTAAACATTTATGTATTCAACATACGACAATAAAAAACATTCAGTCTATGTCAGATGGAGAATATGTAACATTTTCATGTAAAATTATAGACGTTGGTTCAGTAAGTTTTCAAAAAAAAATAAATACTTACCAAATATTTTCTTTTTGAGGAGAAAATTGTATTGTTTAATAATGCACATAAAAGAATTCAAAAGTTAAAAAAGACTGTTCTAGTGGCTGATAAAACTGATTGCATTAAATTAAATCTTTCGGAGAACAATTTTACATTTATAGAAAACGATCAATGTTACTTGATTAAATTTGCAAAAGTAAAAATATTTAATGATGAAATATTTGTAACAACCACAACACATACAATGTGAGCTTCTCTATTATTTGTCTTCATTTTTCTTTATTTATAAACAGCTTCCAAATTCAGAAATATCTCTTAACATGTACTTCTAAAAAAAATCTGTAAAAATATTTTTTAGATTTGAGTCTATCGATAACATCGCTGATGTTATCTCTTGTGATTTTCTTAATATCATACAAGAATCATCAATAACAGGTACAATAACATCAATAGGATTAATAGAGCCGCCTTGTCTTTGTCCAAAGTCCTATTCAAGTGATGTTGAATGTCATGGCAAGACTATTAAATGTATCACATGTAAATCAAGATCATTGTATTTACAAGACTCAACTCAACAAAACCAAATAAAACTTAATGTAACCGATATTTATCATAATATGTTTGAATTCATTATTGAAAGATCAAAAATTCAAGTTTTATTACAACAATCTAATCATGAACAACTTTGTCAAAACGATTTGCTAGAAGATAAAGATGTATTACTTGCCTTATCTTCAATGAACGTTTTTATTAACTTTAATCCAAAAACTATGCATATAAACACCATTGCATTAAACAATATCTAGAATAACTGAATAAATTTTCTCAAACATGAATAAACCTAAGCATTTCTAAATTCCTAACACTTTAAGAAATAATTCACAGCTTTTTCTATTTTCAAATTCCACCGACTTTCCTATCTAGATATTTATGCTACTTCAAGTATTCATTCCATACTTTCGCTGGATCTGATCATTCATATAGATTGTTACATTTCCCTTCATAGATAAATATCTAGCTACATGGTTATCTTAAAACATCACAAATCAGTGAAAAAGTTCATATAGTTTACGCTGCTTTATGTAAACTTTAAATCAATAGTATTACTACACTCGTTCGTATCGGATTCAGATACACGATGATATCTGTTCATTTTATCATCGAACCATTACATATGATTGTTCAATCAAATTAACAGTAGTATCCTCATAAAAAAAATACTAAAGCTCACCAAATCAAAACTTACACTTTTCCTGTGTTTTTTCTTGTTACGAAAAATTCATCTAAACTTTTCGGAAAATTAAAAATTAATTAAAATTAATTCTATACACGGTCTACAGACAAATTCCATACAGCGTTTTTACTTTATTGCGCAGAATTTCATAAAAAATATCTAAAATCTTATATAGTTGAATATCATGTCAGTTCCTTCTACAAAAAAACTTTTGCTTCACCATTTAAACTGGGTACATCGTGTTTCACATTTTTAATCCCGCAAGGGATTCCGCTAACAGCTTTTCTTTTCTTTTTTTCCTTCTCTCATGTAAATTCTTTTCAAATATCCTTTGTTCTTGTTGCTAAGGTACAGTGACGTCATAATTTCTCTCTTCTCCTTTGATCTTTTGTTTCTCGAGAATATTCTCATTCTCTATTGGCTATATATACTCCCGCTCTTATGGACGAATTTATTTTGTTCTTGAATTTGCAAAGCATATAATTTTGGTTTCAGTACAGAAGTCTTTCTGCTCCAGCAATGAACAAATAAGTTGTGGAAGACCTCTTTCTCAAAATAAGTCTAAACTGGCATCACCAAAAACTATCCTTAATGTTGACAATGAAATGCATTTGCCTGTGAAAGGAAAAACAAGATGATGCGCTTATTGTGACACCAAGGAAGCAGATTTTCGATCCAACATCGAATGCTTTACTTGCAAATTGCCATTTTGTTTAAAAGATGAAAAAAATTGTTTTTTTGATTATCATAACATTTTTATGTAGCCATCTTGAGTTAAAATAAAATAAAAAGGGTGAAAAATGTGTTTTTCGATTAAAAAAAATTGATCCTCAAAGGGTTAAGATACTGTGTATGACTATATATGTAGGTTAAGTCTTTAGTTTAAGTAAAACCTTCGATTAATAATAATAGGCTTCTTGTTACTATTACTATCAATATTACATTCATTTCGAACAAAAGAATCACATAGTATATCGCGTGTATCAAAAGTTTTGCAATACGTAGTATTTTTCAAATATCTCAGCAGACATCAATCGTATAATCGTGATTCTTTTTTCAATAGATGCGTCATGAAAAGCTCTACAAAAACTGTAAGAAGAAACTCCTACTGAGTTATTCTGATGGTATGTCCTATATGTTCAAAACGAATAGGTCAGATGATGGTCATACGTACTAGAAGGTTAAGTATTTGGAAGATTATTTTTCTTTTGCAATAGGAACTTTCTAAAGTCAAGATATTCGCAAAATAAAAAAGAAGTTTTCGAGATATTTTTGTTATGCTAATTATGGTGGGACATGACACCCACATATAATCTGCTCATTTTGAGTATCGGAGACACTATCTGTGGAAGTCAAAAGGGATATTTTTTCTTTCAGTTTTTGTAGACTTTTCACGACGCATCTTTTTGGTACATCCGGTATATATTGGGTTGTTGCAAAAGTCCTTGCCGATTTTTTAAAAATCTTTTAAAATTATTTGCGAATCTTATTCATGCCTGTCTTTTGTATATATCATAAATACTTGATGAGCGCTATAAAGCGACATTAACAAAGGTCCTCAATTATAAATGTTTTAGATTAAAAAATGTCCGAAATTCCTACTCATATTCGACACTGTATTTTGTATGAGTTCCAACTTGGTAATAATGCATGTTCCGCTGCCCGCAATATCTGTGCTGCACTCGGCGAAGGTACGGTTGCTGATCGCATATGTCGTCATTGGTTTAAAAGATTTCAAGAAGGTGATATATCATTGGAATATCATCCGAGATCCGGACATCCTCTCGAATGTCATGTGGAGCGATTGCAAGCACTGATAGAAGACAATCCATGGCTAACCACTCGTGGGCTGTCAACCATGCTCGGCTGCAACTATTCCACCATTGATCGTCACTTGCATCAAATGGGAAAAGTCAATAAACTTGGATCATGGATTCCATACCAACTGACGCCGGACAACATCCAACAGAGCATTACCATCTGCAACTCTTTATTGTCAAAGCGCAACCGATACAGGTTTCTCCAGCAAATCGTTACTGGCGATGAGAAATGGGTCTTCTACGTTAACCATACACGCAAGCGCCAATGGGCCAATCGTGGAAATTTGCCGAATCCAGAGCCGAAAACTGACCTGCACTCAAAAAAGGTTATGCTGCCAATTTGATGGGATTTTCAGGGCATAATCTGCTTCGAACTTCTTCCCCCTAACACCACTGTGGACTCCGAGCTGTACTGCAAACAACTCCAAAATTTGAAGGCCGCTCTGCAAGCCAAACGTCCAGACAGTCACAAAGTTCGCCTGCTTCATGACAACGCTAGACCCCATACGGCAAAGGTCATCCGTCAGAAGCTAGAAGAATTAGGTTGGCAGGTCTTATCCCATCCACCGTATTCGCCCGACTTGGCAACTTCTGATTATCATCTGTTCCGTTCGCTTCGCAATCATTTGAGCGAGAAACATTTCGACGATCAAGACCACTTAAAATCGGACCTCGAAGCTTTCTTTCAGTCTTTGTCTAAGAAATTCTATGAAGATGGTATTATGGATTTGCCTAAGAGATGGGAGTATGTCGTAAATAATAATGGTGCATATGTTATTGATTGATGTTCTTTTGTTTCAATAAAATTTAAAAAAGCTGAAATGAAAAAAAAATCGGCAAGGACTTTTGCAACAACCCAATATATACTGTTAATCTTCAGTAACATTGATAGAGTTTATATATTATGATGGTCTTTATCGATAAAATTATAAACTTTTATGTACATATTTTAATTCAGATATGAATGTATAGGATAGAAAAAAAACATATTAATTTGTTTTTCGTTAGGTTTACACGTTGTTTATTGATCAAGGTAAGTATGTTATAATGCATTTCGTTCTATTTTTACACGATACAGTACGATGGTAAATAAACAACGTATGGTAAAAAAATCAAGAAAAAGAGCGAAGAATCACCAAACCTGTTATTGTGAGTCGATGAAAAATTCAAGATAGTTTCGCGAGTCTTTTCTTTTTTGAATATTTTTCATAAATAATTTTCTTAAAATAGAATATATGAACTTTATTTCAAGGTTTTATTTTCTAAATATATTAAAACATGAAAGTGAAAAAAAAAGAATGACATGAATAAATATTTATATGTTGTACTTTGGAAAATTGTTTTTTTTTACTTCTGTTTTATAATAAACGATTTATTAAAATGATATGATATTTAGTTTGGTTTTTGTCAATGAGTTTAGAGATAGAATTAGTTTTGCTTCGAACTTTGATTTGATTTTGATTATTGCCATGGTGGATTTGGTTTTTGTGATGTATTACTTATATTAGCCATAAATCTCATAAATTCATCATATGATGCCATTCCATCACGATTAAAATCGATCTTTGACATAACTTGCTGAATTTCAGCATCTGGACGTGGCATGTTGGCTCGACGAAGACTTTCTTTCATTTCATCGAATGTAATAAAACCATTGCCATTTATATCGAATTCCATAAATGCCTTTGAAAGTTCAATAACTTGAGCAGGTTGTAGTCTACCAATAATACTATCACTAGCCATGTTTCGTTTGATTAGTCTGTCTTTTTTTTTTACGTTAGCTGCAATGATAAATATTTCACTTTTGAATAATGTTAATACGGTAGCTTTTTATCTTATTGCTTGGGAAGTCAAGCATAAGGATACACATGGCTGAATCTCCATAGACAGAACATAAGAAGCGTATGCAAACACGATTAGCTGGTTAATGAGCAATAATAATACTTGAATACATGAGCACGTAGCTGACGTATTTTTCGCATCATGTTTTTCAGGCATTAAAAAAAATATTTGAACCAAGGACGTTGTCAAATGGTTCTAAAAATGAAAAATAAAAATTATATTGACAGATTAATCACTTGTTGTTTTTGACTCTAATGAAATTTCGCTTTGATAGAATTCAATAATTAAAGTAACTTGATTTTTTATATTCTCATTTATTTCTTCATCGCATATAATCGATGAAAGGTAGTTGATATTCATTTATAGTGATAAGATATGTGCTAGATTGAGACTCTGAGAGAAAAACATTTCATTTTAACAGAAAATTAAGATTATAATTAATTATTCTATTGTTTGAAATGAATTATTATATTAATTAGGACATATACAGTACTCCACATAAATCTCCAGCTCCCTAGAAAATTTTAGAACTTTCTCGAATATTTGTTCTACCACTATGTATAGACAACAGGCACAGCCTTCTGGTCATATAACTTAATTAGAACTTTAAAGGTTATTCTATAGATCAATAATAGGAAATGACACTTTCAATGGACAGACGATATGAAATTATTTTTTGATCTGATCATCCAATGGGACCACAGCTTGGCGTGAAGGCTGTTGCAAAAGCAGTAAAGTGTGCAAAGAGTACTGTACAATATTGGCTCAACAGGTGGAAAGAATCTAAAGATCTAAGTGACTCGAAGTGTACTGGATGACCTCGTAGCACAACGGAAAAAGTGGACCGACGAATCAGTGACCTTGCCAGCACTGACAATATTGCCACAACACGTGACATACAACGTGTCCTGAAGCGAAAAAATGTAGACATCAGTCAGGAGACAATTCGGCGCCGGTTGAAAGAATATGGGGCTAAGTTTAGTCTGCCAATATCAAAATCACTTTTAACAGAAAAACATCGACAGAAACGTCTTGAATGGGCTCAAGCTACATGTGATATGGATTGGAATCGAATAATTTTTTCTGATGAGACCACTGTACGTCTAAACCTGCTGAAACGGTGTGTCTGGAATTTGCCGGGAAAGAGAAAAGTTTTTCGAACAGTAAAGTATCCAGTAAAGGTGAACATTTGGGGATGTTTTTCATGCAACGGCTTTGGTCGTATTTACTGTTTCCGTGAAAATCTCAAGACTGACTTGCTTTGTAGGATTTATAAGCGTTATCTATTGCCGACTGCCAGGGACCACTTTGTACGAAATTCAACTAACTGGGAGTTATAAGAAGATAATGATCCAAAGCATATGTCTCAACTTGCAAAACAATGGAGATCGCAGCATGGAGTCCAACGAATCGATTGGCCATCAATGTCGCCAGACCTGAATCCAATCGAAAACGTTTGGAAACTTCTCAAAAATGAATTTGGCAAGGAAAAATCTTCGAACCTACAAGTCATTAGTTTCGGCGATAAAAAAAGAATGGAAAGCCTTTCCACAAGATCTAACAACCAATCTTGTGCGAAGTATGAAAAATCGTATTTCTGATGTTATTTCTAACAAAGGCGACTTCATTGTGTATTGATGATCAGAACATGAAATAAACTTAAAGAATGCAGAAAAATATTCAATTGTTTGTTCTCATTGAAAAAGTTAAGAGGGGTCGGATACTTATGTGGAGTACTGTATATTGGGTTGGCAAGAAAGTTTTGCGTCTTTTTTTTACTAAACAACAAAATTTATTTTTCAACAGAACAAAACAACCTCAATCAATAATATATTCGCCGTTATTATCAATAACAGTGGCCCATCTTTTCAGCACACTCTAAAAAAAATCGGTTTTTTACCAAACCCCCGAAAAAGGTTCGGGAGATTTGAAAAAGCGTCCAATTGCATTCAAAGGCTAGAAAAACGATTCTTCAGTTCTACGAAACCTTTAAAGGTTCTTCCCCCGGGCACACGGGAAGAACCTTCTCCTACGAAACCTTTTTTTAAGTTCCGTACAGCAGAAAAAGGTTTCGCAAGAAAATGCGAAACCTTTAGATTTTCATATTCAATTTCAATGGTTTAGTACGAAGCCATCGAGGTTTAGTACGAAGCCATCGGGGTTTAGTAAAAACCCATTTGAATTTAGTTATAAGCCCTAAAGGTTTCGCATTTTCTTGCGAAACCTTTTTCTGCTGTACGGAACTTAAAAAAAGGTTTCGTAGGANTGATGTCCACACATTCTAGGATGACTCATCTGTTTAATTCACTTTTTGAAGTACACATAACTCTCGGATTTAAATCCGAAGTTTCCACATTTATTTTTAATGATCTTAAAAAAGGTATATTCAAAAGTAAGGTTACCTTTCTAATTTCAGAGCTGAAATGTGTTTCCATGAATTTTGACAAATTTTTCAAAAAGAATCCCAATGAAAACTCATTAAAATTTCGAAAATCGGTACTTGAATCTTGTTAGTTCTATTTCAAACTTCAGAAAATCACTATATAAAATTGCTGCTGACAAGACATCAAAAGTCATCCATATTACACACATTTCACCACAAAAACTGTGGCCTGCGCCTCGTTCTAAGCATATAAAACCTACTATTTCAGCCTCATCTTTTCTTTCACTAGACTTGAACTTTTATCGTCGTGCGACGAGAACATCGAATAGGAAAGTTTTATTTCGTGATGAGTGTGATTATCCAAAATTTAATTCATACTGTCGATTATTACTCTGTAGTGGTCAGCCCTCTTCGTACATGTTTATTAAAACTGATGACCAATTATCATATATTACTGTTAGTCACATGTACTTAGGATGGAATCGAGTAGGTCATATTAGTCTACAACATGGAAGGTGGAACAAAATGAATGAAAATGGAACATTAACATAGATAATTGAACGCCAATAGATACAACACGCAATGATGTTCTCGTATTGTGTACTGGCCATCGATCATATATCGGTATTTTTTTTCATCGAACATCCTCGAGCAATTGTGGTACAAAACCAATGAGATTTTCTGTGTACTTGTTCTTGACGGAGAGATTTTGACTTCCAATCTGCCTGGTCTAGCTTTCAACAACATGTTTTCAAGACCCTTCTGGACGATTCTTGATTTACAAGCTCATTGAGCGCCTGTTATTTTCTCCGTCGTTCTATGTATGCCTTCTGTCAGTGAACAACAGATCACCATTTTTAAAAATCGTTTTTATCGTGTTCACCTCCCCCCCACCCCACTTTCATACCGTGAAAACGCGTTTTATACTATCTAGACTCGTTTCTTAGAGTATAAAAATGAAAAAGAAGCTTACACGAGAGTTTTCAGTATGTAATAACATTGGAAAACGTTACCTTGTGAAGACTGCGTTTTTCGGCATTTTCGACCAAAAGTTTTTCACATTGTTTTAACGGTAGGCACAATCCGAGAGCTAGCGTTCTCTATTTTAAAAAACGTGAACTGTAGCACACAATTGCATTACTTCGTTGGTACTCGTTTTTCAACGTAATGCTGAAATTAAAAATTGCTTCGCATTTTTTAAAATAGAAGATATTTGTTTCCAATATTTTTTTGACAAAAATTTTTTGATGAGGCGTATTAAGGCTTTTCCTCTTCTTCTTTGAGCTAACTATCATTGTATGAGCTTTGCATCAAAGTTCCTGTTCTGTTTTAGTTAGTCATGATTCGAAAAATTAATAAAATAGAAAATGTTGGTCGATTTCGTTCATATGTAAGTTGCTATCCAGATGAAGTTGTCTTTAAGAAGCTAACCGTGATCTATGGCTCAAATGGTAGTGGTAAAACGACACTGGCAGCTATTTGCCGTTCCTTGACGAGCGGTGAGCCTGGTGGAATAGTGAAACGTAATTCAGCTATTCAGTACTCACCCAATTCAACAGCACTTGCTACAGCAGATACCTCAAATAAAATAGTCCCCGCATTACAATCTTCGCAATGTATTGAAATTCTCGATTATGATGAAACTGGTTACAAATACGAAAAAGAGAAATGGAGTAAAACTTTTCCGAACATTCAAGTATTTGACAGCCATTTTTGTAAAGAATTCTTTGCAAGCTTGAAGCCATCACTCAGCTTATGTAGTGGTAATCGATTTACTGCGCTACGAAACGAAACTAAAACTGTTCTTCTTCAGAATTGGGATGCATTGGATAATAAGAGTGCCGAGGCGATACCGATTGAATTTAATGATGATGTTATTAAAAAGCGAAAGAAAAAAGTAGAAGGTGAGTCGACCTACATAGCTAAAACTAGACTTGCTTCACTCGCATCTAATGATGTTTCGATTGTTTCAGATTGCCTCAAAACAGAAGACACCATAGTAAATGAGTTTCTGCTAAAATATCAACAGCGTATCAACGGTTATCTGCAAAAGTTCTGTGCTGATTTTCAGCTGCAAAATCTTCGTATAAATCCTGTCAAGTTAACTCTCAGGCAAGCGATATTCCATTTTTCTCTGTTTTACTAATACCAGCAAAACTGAGTTTTACAGTTTCAAGCTAACTCACTAGATGAAGACTAACAGATATTCAATGCTAAATATATTTCGCTACACCCACAACTTTTTTTGTCTTTTCGAAGACAAGCATTTTCAATATATTTGGAACGACTTTAAATACAGTTTCACTGAAGAAAGTAAAATAAGCAGAAACTATGTTTCTAGTGGAACACTGCGTCGTTTTTTGAGATTTTGCTAGGCATCTGACTGTAAAAAGGCTTTCACCATTGTATGTCTCAAAAGATTAGCGTTAAAAGAGTGCTAGCATGAACTGTTTATTCTATGTCGACGATTCTCCAAGTATTTTGCTTCATGTTAACATGTTTTTCTATTTTCTATCACTTTCAAGATCCGACATTTACCAAAATAGAACCATCACATATGATATAACTGGAAAACATCCTCTGGCAACATCAAAACCAATTAATGCAGAGTTTCTCAGTGAAGGTGATCGTAGTGCCATTGCCCTAGCATGTTTTCTGACGAAACTTGATTATGCTATTGAGGACTCACCGAGTCCAGTGGCAAGACCGACATTGGTGTTTGATGACCCCGTTACAAGTTTTGATTCTCATAGACGAGATGTAACAATTGAAATTATTCGTGATCTATTATTTAAAGATGCTATCTTACAAGCTATTGTTCTCAGTCATGATGCACATATTTTGAATGACTTACTCATCAGTGTGAGCAAGAAGCAGGAGAACAGTGGTGTTAGAACTGTCACAACAGCTGAATTTGAAATCAAGCTTAATGATATTGAAAAAACATCAAGTTTAGTGTAAGTAGACAGTTATATCTTCTCAAAGAATATTGAGTACTGTACTTGTTCATTGCATCTTTGCGTCTTCTGCTTAGAGATAAAGATATAATGAAAATAGCTGGTGGGCGATACAGAGCTTGTGTATCTACTGTCGAAGATTATCGACAAAAAGGGACGGACGACATTGGCGTGAAAGCAAACGTTCTAGTATGCATTCGTCAAATAATTGAATCGAACTTGAAAGATCGTTTCTCTGAATTGATTGAACGCAAAATACCAGTAATAAATAGCCGGATGGTTGGTAACATTATCGATGTGGTACAAAACGAAAACGGAGTCAAATCAATCGATGATGCTATTATGAAGAAAGAGGATTTGATTTCAGAATTACGAGAGATTAATCAGCTCGTATCATCAGCTGCTCACATCAAAGGAAGAAACGATGAAGCTAAAGAAAATTGTATGGATCAAGCAGAGAAAACAACTGTTAGAACATTACACAGACTAATTCAACAAATGTATGATATCATTAATAATAAATTACCGCTACTAGTCTATATAAAGAACAAAAAGCCAGACAAAAAAACGACTACAGCTTGCATGAGTACACAAACAGAACTTATTTAAAAAACAAACTGTTCCCATTATCCGAAATAACTTTCAAATGAACCAACCAAGTACAACTACGGTTTAATTAGGATCTCTAGCTGTATATGGAAAATTTTCAAATCTTTCAAAAACACCATTGCAAACGCTTTCTTGATTCTTTTCTCTTGTGATTGATTCTCTTTTTTTGTATCTTCTCTGTTTTATTTCTTATGCTTGTGTATTCTCTTTTGCAATAAATTTTCAAGTTTTGCTTCACGTTTCGTTATATTGCCTCTTAGTTTGATTACTACCGCTCTAGTAAAGATTGTCTCTTGTCTTTTCAATAGACAGAAAAGCAAAATAGCTTACTCTTTTGATATCTCGTTTGTGATGCGGATGTGGCTGTGGGTGTGAGTGTGGTATGAGTCTTCTCTACATCGCACAGTAACACCTACATCCACACACACCCTAGTTCTCATGCGACTATAGATTAGTGACTTTGATAGTCTATATCACAAGTCTTCATCACATCCAATGCACAGACATGCTTCAAACTATCACTCTTTTTCACTTATCTTCTAAATGACAGTTATCAAGTTGAGAGCAATTTTATCACTATTCTCTCTTGTCTTCCTGTTCATCTCTTTTCAACATATTTTCCTTTTCAAACATTTCACTCCGTCTTCGTCAATGAACACGTCTAGAAGCGGCAATAGAAAGAAAAAGAAATATTTCTCTTCGCTGAAGATAAATGTTTTATGACAGGCGTAACAGAATTCGACACAACTCATATGAATTCATTCTCAGTTTGTAGCGTTCTTACACAATATGTTGGCACCTATTCGTAAGGTCACAGGGTAAGCCATATGAACTGACCCGTCAATGAATCAGTCTGATATTGTATACAAAGAGTAATGAAGAAAAGTCATTGTAGATGTACGGATCCATGTCTATTGAATAGAGAGACGAGCTAAAAGTTTTGAAATGTATCGATATTGGTGTCGATCAATAATCTCGAATACCACTGGTTGAGCAATAGGGTTGCATTGATTTATATTGTTGATATTCTATATAGAAGCCTAACCGTTCACCAACAGCAAGTGCATTACATTCTGAACAACGTCCATCTACTTCATTGACACTATTTCACCATCGATAAGAATGATCTTCATTTTGACTTCCTGTGTCATAACCTTTCGTTGCCACTTCTTGTCCCGAACATCGAAATGCAATGAGATTTTTGTAGATAGGATTGCTTTGTGTATTAGACTTGACTTTAGAATGTTTATGTAAGGTAACATGAAATCGATTAATTTTTTCAATTCTCAAACACATATTCATGATACATTTTGGTAAAGGGTTACATGCTCTCTCTCTCAGGGTTAAGGAAAACAACTTTGTTCTGTAAGCCTCTTCTTCGAAATCTACAGACCTTGATCTTGGTCCGATTATTTGTGCCACGCAATGATTGTATATGAGTAATATCATGGAGTAGAAAAAATGATGGTGACTTTTCCCAAGCGTCTGTAGTTTTTCAACAGTATATTTGCAGGTACAAAAAGAGACAGAAGAAGAGTTCACTTTTTTATTTATTTTTCTCATTTCATTTGTAAGGTTTCATTCGGTATTTAGCTCGTGTATTCGATTTACGTTTGAAACGGACTACTTTTTGATTCTTGTATCGTCATTGACGGCGTCTACGTCTAAATTAATAATCTTCATTTTAGTTGAAATTATGTCTATGACCTCTTCACGACTGAAAAAGTAAGAAATACCTCCAGACATGCGGGAAAATATCATGGCGGCTTTCAGTGAGGGTGTGGGTGTGGGTGTGGGTGTGGGTGTGGGTGTGGATGTGGGTGTGGATGTGGGTGTGGGTGTGGGTGTGGGTGTGAGGTGTGGTGAGTGTGGGTGTGGGTGTCTGTGTCAGAAAAGAAGGCACTGCATCAACACCCAGACTCTCATACCCACGCCAACACCCCCCCCCCCNCAAGAATGGTTCAGCCAATTCTTCCCATCTTCGAACTCGACCGAGACATTGTTAAGACTGAACTGTGTAGAAAATTTCATCGCGATTGGACTCTCCTTTCAAAAGTTATCGTGTTAACGGCCGGCCGGCCGGCCGGACGGACATACTGACCGATTCTAGAGTGTACTCACTTTTTGAGTACACAAAAAGATGACCTACAGCAAAAAATTGTATTACTTCATTTTTAACGGTTTTTCAGCAGGTTCCTGGAATAAAATATTGCTTCGGGTCTTTTGAAACAAAAAACATTAGTTTTCAGCATTATTAATAAAATTTTCTCATGTGACGCATTTATTGTTTTATTTTCCTTCCAGGAGCTAGCTACCATTGTGTAGGCTTCGTACCATAGTTTCTCTTTCTGTTTTAGTTAGTCATGATCCGAAAAATTAATAAAATAGAAAATGTTGGCCGATTCCGTTCATATATGGGTGGCTATCCAGATGAAGTTCTTTTTAAGAAGCTAACAGTGATCTACGGCTCAAATGGTAGTGGTAAAACGACACTGGCAGCTATTTGTCGTTCGATGACGAGTGGTGATCCTGGTGGTATAGTGAAACGTAAATCAGCTATTCAGTATTCACCCAATTCAACAGCATTTACTGCAGCAGATACTTCAAATAAAACCGTCTCCACGTTACCATCTTCGCAATCAATTGAAATTCTCGATTATGATGGAACTGTTTACAAATACGAAAAGGAGAAATGGAGTAAAATTCATCCGAACATTCAAATATTTGACAGTCATTTTTGCCAGAAATTCTTTGCAAGTCCAAAGCCACCACTTAACTTATGTAGTGGCGATCGATTTACGATGCTACGAAATGAAACTAAAGCTAGCATTCTTCAGAATTGGAATGTATCGGAAAACAAGAGTGTTGAGGCGACGCCGATACAACTTAGTGATGAAATTATTCAAGAGCAGAAGAAAAAGGTAGAAGGTGAGTCGATCTGTCTAGCTACAAATAGAGCTGCTTCACTCATATCAAATAATGTTTCGATTGTTTTAGATTGTCTCAAGACAGAAGAGACCATAATGAATGAGTTTCTACTAGAATATCAACAGCGTGTCAACGATTATCTGCAAAAGTTCTGTGCTGATTTTCAGCTGCAAAATCTCCGTGTAAATCCTGTTAAGTTAACTCTCAAGCAAGTGATATTCGATTTTTAACTGTATTTTACTTATATCAGCAAAACTGAGCTTTACAGCTTCAACCTAACTCACTAGATGAAGCTTGAGAGATGTTCAACACTGAATCTCTTTAGCATTTTGAAGATATTTAGAACGACCTTATATACAATTTCACCAAAGAAAGTAAAATAAGTAGAAACGAAATTTCTAGCGAAACATTTCGTCGCTTTTCAAGGAATTGCTGAGCATCTGTCTGTAAGAATATTTCCACAATTTTATATCTCAAACGATTAGTATTAAAAGACTGCTAGCACGAACTGTTCATTCCATCTCGGTGATTCTCCAAGTCTTTTAGTCTCTGTTAACATCTTTTTCATTTTTCTCTAACTTTCAAGGTCCGACATTCACCAAAATAGAACTATTGCATATGATATAAATACAAAAAATTCTCTGGTAACATCAAAGCCAATTAATGCAGAGTTTCTCAGTGAAGGTGATCGTAGTGCTATTGCTCTAGCATGTTTTCTGACGAAACTTGATTATGCTATTGAGGACTCATCAAATCCAGCGACGAGACCGACATTAGTCTTTGATGACCCGATTACAAGTTTTGATTCTCACAGACGAGACGTAACAATTGAAATTATTCGTGATCTATTATTTAATGATGCTATCTTACAAGCTATTGTTCTCAGTCACGATGCACATATTTTGAACGACTTACTCATCAGTGTGAACAAGAAGCAGGAGAACGATGACATTAAAATTGTTACAACAGCTGAATTTGAAGTAAAGATTAATGATATCGAAAAAACATCAAGTTTAGTGTAAGTAGAAGTTATCTCTTCTCAAACAACATTAAGCATTGTACTTTTCATTATACTTTTGCGTCTTCTGCTTAGAGATAAAGATGTAATGAAAATAGCTGGTGGACGATACAGAGCTTGTGAATCTACTGTCGAAGATTATCGACGAGGAGGGACAGATGACGTTGGTATGAAAGCCAACGTTCTCATATGCATTCGTCAAATGATCGAATCGAATTTGAAAGATCATTTCTCTGAATTGATTGACTGTAAACTACCAGTTATAAGTAACCGAATGGTTGGTAACATTATCGATGTGATACAAAACGAAAACGGAGTCAAATCAACCGATGATGCTATTCTGAAGAAAGAGGATTTTATTGCAGAATTACGACAGATTAATCAGCTTGTATCATCAGCTGCCCACATCAAAGGAAGAAAAGATGACGCTAAAGAAAATCTTATGGATCAAGCAGAGAAAGTAACTGTTCGAACATTACACAGATTAATTCAACAAATGTATGACATGATTAATAATAAACTACCGCTACTGGTCTATACAAAGAATAAAAAATCAAACAAAAAGTCGACTACAGTTTCCATTAGTACACAAACAGAAACTATTTAAAAAAAAAACTGTTCTTTTTATCGGAAATAATTTTCGAATGAACTAACCATATATAACTGCAGTTTAATTGCCACCTCTAGCTGTATATGGAAAACTTTCAAATTTTCCGAAAACATCATTCTAAATGCATTCTAAATTAATTTCACTTGTAGTTGATCCTGTTTTTTGTGTCTTCTTCCTTGCAATAAATTTTCAAGTTTTGCTTGACCATTCATTGTACTGCTGCTAAGTTTGATTATAATGGCTCCAATAAAGATTGTCTCTTGCATTTTTAACAGTCAAAGAAGCAGAATAGCTTCCACTGTTGATATCTTGTATATGATGCTCCACTGAAGTGCACTTTTCGCCGAATATATGACATGCCATCGAACAGATTCGAGAAATATTTGCTGAAGGAGTCCAACTGAGAACTATTCCGAATATTCAACCACTCAATCCAAATGTGTCCAGACAATNAAAGGATTGATAACAACGGTCGAACCATTTACTGTCTGAATATGAGTTACCCTGATCGACACTTCAACCTAGTTCACGATTAGATCTCATCAGATACATAAATAAGGTTAGCACCACATTCAGGTTTTTCTTATTCGAATTCGCTCCTGAATTTGTATTGACCCTCTACATGGTTGTGTTAGGCGCAGAATGTAATTCTCCATCGAAATGTACGAATTTTGATAAGGCCATCGAGTAAAAATGGGTTTTGGCCCAAAATTCTGGATTTTCGATTCTATTCCGAGAGTGAATCTGTACTTTTCTTGTCCAGATTCGTTCCCTGACTTATCTTGACTTTGAGAATGGTTGTGTTAGATACAAAATTTCATTCTCTATCAAATGGTAGCATTTTCAATAGGAGTCATCGCGCAAAAAATGGGATCTTGGTTGGAAATACTTGGGTGGGTGTCGGCGTGAATCCGTAGACAGAGAACTTACACCCACCCCACACCCACACCCACGCCCACACCCACACACTCACACCCACACCCACGCCCACACCCACATCCTCACCCCACCCCCCACAACCACACCCCACACCCCACACCCACACCCACACCCTTCATAATGACTTGCTGCGTCAGTTTTGTTAGCAAATGTGTATAAAGTTTACTATTTTTTTCTCTTTTTTTCTTTTCTCATCATCCTGTTGACATATCGATAACCCGCGTGGATCAAGGAGAAGAAAATGTGACGAAATTACGCTTTAACAAAACACGAGTGTTACGAGATAAGTAGATGGAGAGAGTATATGTTCCCAAAAACTTAACTATCTTAATATCATCAATATCGAAAAATGAACTAATCATCAATATTGAAGAAAGAAAACCAATACAGAATACTCTCGTTAAAGTCTAATAGAGTATCAATGAAGTCTTGTTTATTCGTTGTGTTTTGCATGAAAGATAGTTTGAATCCATTTGTTCATATTATCAAGTGTATTTCGTGCTTCGGAAAAGTAATGAAAAAATATTGGATAACAATGCACCAAATGTAAACCTTCTTCAAAGGTTACATGAACACCTGCTTCTTGTGCTCTTTTTACAACACTTATTGAATCATCTTCGAAGATTTCAGCTGTACCTACATTAATATACATTGGTGGAAATCCTTTGAATGAACCAAAAAGGGAACTCAATAGAGGATTATTTAATGATAATTTAGAATGATGAGTGCCCATTAATACTTTAACCATGCACTCGATATCGTCACTAGTAAATATTAGATCCGTGAGAGGATTACGTGTATAACTGTCACCGGATATTGAAAGATCAGCTCATGGAGATAAGGCAATAATACCACGAGAAACACGTAATTGACGAGCTAGTACAGCTTGAATTGTTAGTAAGGCTAGACCACCACCAGCTGAATCACCTATAATAAGTATCTGAGATGGTGAAATAGTCTGATGAAGAAGAGCACGATAGATCACGACTGTATCATCGATAGCTGCAGAGAGTGGATGTTCTGGACTAAGTCGATATTCAACATGGAGAATAGTTAAATCGAAAAGCTGAGACAAATAGCATTCAAATCTACTATGATCTGTCAAAATAGCCAAAAAAAAAGATTTGGTCGTTTACTTAAACGCGACAAACATTACGTACTCTGAATATCGCCTGATATATAGCCTCCTCCGTGAAAGTAAAGTAATAGTTTATCGGAGTTTCCTTGGAAGTTTCTTGCAGGATAATTAATCCAATAGATATCTACTGAGTGTCCATCATGTTCGAATCGTTCTTTGGTGATTTGACATTGTGATAGTTGTGGAATAATGTTATTCAGGGTGAAGGAGGAGCGGAAGTCTTTGAGTCTGGCGATTGGATCTTCCAATGGGTCATATTTTATGGACCGTCTCATGCGTAACATATTCTCAAAAGCTCGATATTCAGCACTGAGTGTTGGCCGAGCTTGATCCAATAAGAGTGAATTTTTTAGTGTTAATACTGAATGTAGTAAACGCACAGTAAGATATATAAGATTTGTTGATCCATATCGTAAAGAAATAACAGCAGCCAGAATCAAAATAAGTAGGAACAATCTTTTTAGAAAGCTAACGAGCGTAATATAAAACGCCATAATGTAATCTATCTAAAAAAGAATTCTTTTTTTGGCCATAAATATTTGTTGCGTTCGTCCCTACTTCTCTTATCGAGTAGACCACACATTATTTTTTTTCTTCATATGTTAACAGTATTAATTCACATGTTACTCAAAGTGAAAACGGCATACCTTCGCACTTCGACAACAGAAAACCTTGGAATGGAAAATGTTGATTTCTACTGCACTTGCACACGATATAACGTCAAGATAATATATATGAATAGAATCCTGCGTAATATTGAACAGAATTTTTTACCGGCTTATATTATGACAAAACAATTAATTATGAGACTGACAAGATGAAATTTACAGTTTTTTTTCGGATTCGACTACGAAAAACTCCCCTCTTTTGATAATTAAACATTTTGCTTATGTAATATCACAAGCAACGTTGGTCAGTTTTCGATTCACTCGTTCTTAGACTAAATAACGCACCCCACCCTCTTGGAATAGAATGGAGCTGCCCCCGTAGGCGGAACTGATTCTGCAATGTTCAGCATTGCGGGATAGGATGACTACTTGTTCAACTTATTGAGTTGAATGAAGCTCATTTCGAATGATGCGATTTATCTTCTAAGACATTCGAACTGGATCCTAAAGAGATGATCCTCTTGGCCTTCTTTTGCAGAATAAGTGTGTTTTCGTCACATGGGGGACATTGCTATTTTTTTTTACTAAAGTATGACATCAGTGCGATGTTTTCGTAATGCATCACTAGGATACCTACACGCACAGAGAAAGAATCGTCAACAGAAGCAGAAAAAAAACGAACGGCTTTTAACAATTATGAATGCAAGTGCGTCATCAGTGTATTGACGATCTTTCAGTGACAAAAATTTCAATTGAGAGAAATTATAATATGGCAATCGTAAAAAAGAACATCAAGCAACGCAGAATCACACAAACATCTAATAGTGTCTTCTTTCATTTTAGAAAAAATACTTCAACCGATCATCAGCATTCGAGATACAAAACAAAAAAGAACAACACACCAATGGCAAATAACGCGTTATCAAATGGAAATCCGTCTAATCCACCAACGATACAAACTAGTTTTAACACACAAGCAATTCCTTCAAAAGATACGTGTATAGTGCAAAATTTTGTTCTTGTATGGCTTGATTCGACTATAGACGAAACCAATTCTGATTGTCTGAATACCATTAAAAAATTAAGACTCATTGCCAGCACTTTTCACACATTTACCGACTGGTCTAAATGCTTCGAATATATCATTGGAATCAAAACATTAAAAGTCTTTGTGATTGTTTCTGGTACTCTTGGACAACGTATACTATCAGAAGTTAATTGCATATCTCAAATAGAAGCCATCTATGTTTTTTGTGCAAATAAACAATGGCATGAACAATGGGCGATGAATTGGTCGAAAGTAAGAGGTGTGTTTACGGAAATTGATTCGATTTGTAAATCACTTATCCAAGCTACGCAACAATGTGACCGAAATTCGATTGCTATTAGCTTAATGTCGACAAATGAAAATATTCAACATAAAAATTTAGATCAACTTGAACCATCATTTATGTATACTCTATTATTAAAAGAAATTCTCATTAATTTTGATTATAATGATAATTCCATGAAAGATCTAACCGATTACTGTCGTAACTTGCACGCTGATAATATTAATGAATTACACATTATTGATGAACTTGAACAAAAATATTCTCAACAAGCACCAATCTGGTGGTATACTTACGAATGTTTCTTGTATAAAATGCTTAATCGAGGTCTACGTAGGCTTGATATCGATATTATTATCTTATTAGGATTTTTCATTCGAGATCTCTATCGCCAAATCGAACAACTTTATGCGAATCAAAATCATAACAGAGCAATGGGATCATTTGTTGTCTATCGAGGACAAGCTATGTCCAACGCTGACTTCGACAAATTGCAGAAAGGCATAGGTGGTCTAATTTCGTTCAATGATTTCTTATCGACGAGTAAAAGTTATGCTGTATCCATGGCATTTGCTCGTCAAGCTTTGAACGATCCAGATTCAGTGGGTGTTATTTTCTTAATGAAAATTGATCCATCCAGTGCAACAATCCATTTTGCCGATGTAGAACAGTTAAGTTATACGAAACATGAAAACGAAATACTCTTCTCAATGCATGCGATTTTTCGTATTGAACGTATTGGTTGTATTAAAGGCAACAAACAACTCTGGGAAGTCCACCTCCGAATGACCAAGGACAGCGATGAAAAATTGAACAAATTGATCGAATGCATTCGAGAGGAAAGTGATGGACTAACAGGACCGCATCGATTGGGAGCACTACTGATTAAATTAGGTCAATTTGATCAAGCTCGAAAAGTATTCAAAGCATTGTTAGATAAGACATCTAATGAGAACAACAAAGGTCTTCTCTATCATCAGTTGGGAAGAGTGGAGAATTTTTGTGGGAAATATCAAGAAGCATTATCCTTCTATCACAAGTCATTGGCAATCTATCACCAAGAAAGTTCAAGAAGTCAGTCTGATTTAGCTACTTTATATAACCACTTCGGCCTTGTGTATACAAACATGAAAGATTATTCGAAAGCACTATCATTTTACGAGAAGTCTTTAAAAATTTACAAAAAAGTACTGCCGTCGAATCATCCGAATTTAGCTACGGTTCACAACAATATCGGTCTGATACATGATTACTTTGGAAACAACTCAAAAGCTCTTGATTTTTACAAAAAATCACTTCAAATGTATCGAGAAACACTGCCTGAAAATCATCCTAATATGGCTACATCACAGAACAATATTGGCTCGTTGTATTATCAAATGGGTGATTACTCAAACGCACTACAGTTCTTTCAAAAATCACTTGAAATTAACCAAGAAATCTTGCCGAAAAGTCATCCTAGTCTTGTTAACTTATATAACAATCTTGGTTTAGTACATGATAGTATGAATGAGAATTCAAAAGCGCTGGAATTTTATGAGAAATCACTCGATATCGCTGATAAAACATTACCTTCAGACCATCCAGATTTGGCCAGTTCATACAAAAACATGGGTATGATACATGAAAAGATGACCGACTACGTAAAAGCACTTCCCTTTTACGAAAAATCACTCGAAATATGTCAAAAAGCATTACCTACCAATGATCAACGTGTGCTCACTTTATATGGTTCGATTGGTTCAGCATATGAGAAACTTGGAGAGTATTCGAAAGCCTTATCTTTCTATAAAAAGAAACATGACGCCTTGGAAAGCACAGTCTCACTTAGTCAACATAACAAGCTTAACTTTTACGGCCATCAGAAAACTGAACAAGACACAGATGAACTTTTGCTTGATTCCCAGGGCTGCAAGATCCTCAAAATAAAACAAGCTTCTCTACGCCCAGATCTGGCTACTTCGTACAGCGAAATGGGTTCATTATATTATCGCATTGGAGAATATTCGAAAGCGCGTACATTTTTTGAACGTGCTGTTTCTATCGGGCAATCGACTCTGCCATCGTCTGATCCAAATCTTCGGATGTGGATAAAAAATCTCGAAAAAGTTCGAAAAAATTTCTAAATAGTTGTAAATTGAGAAACAACTTTATTACACTTGATATACTGTTTTTTATCATATCACTTAGAGAAGCGATACATGCTGTACTGATAGAAAAACCTCAGTGATCAGTAAGAAACATTTAGATGTATATTGTTTGTCAAATTTTTTATACGATTCATGATTAAAACAAATTATTACTGAAAATCTCCTTGAATAAATGAAAGCTGGGTGTGGGTGGGTGTGGATGTATCTTTATCTTCTTGATTTACTCGCACTCACCCACACCCACACCAACACCACTCACCCTTCTAATCCCAAAGGTTGAAACTTTCAAAATGGGTTACACAGTCGAGCATGTCTTTGCATGATGAAAATGAGAACGAACTACGAAATTGTGACAGAGTTCGGTAGCCAATTAATCTATAATTTATAATGATTGACTCAAAAGAAGATATGTGTTCCATCTAAGTTTAAGTTTCGGTCTACGAAAACTTTAATTGAATGAGTAGAGTATAAAGTATATATCAAAAAGTGATGCACAGGCCTATGGCAGACGAGCAAATGAGAATGACTGTTTGCAAATTTTTTTTTCGATGTTTCGATCGATCAACAACAGAATTCAGCACACGAGCAGTCAATTTAATAGCGAATATTCTTATTTTTCTTTCTTATTTCGTTTATTTCCTTCGCCTCCTTCTTCAAATGATGCTATAGCATCATAAATTAGAACAGAAAGAAAAAATTGTTACCCTTGTCCACTTTTCTGTACGTACTCTCAAGAAGAGATTTCAACTAGTGCTGAATTGTGTTCGCAAAACAACTACTTGCAATACGAAATACTTTACGTGTTCAGTGTTCTAAAAGGATATTCTTAGTTGAATATTTATGATTTCTTCGATAAATTTCGAAGCAATAAAGTTCAAACATCTGTAGTGGTGCTCCCTAACTTGCAAGATTATAATCATAGACTAAAATTCTAGAGCAACAAATAGGTTTTGAACAACGAAAGAACCAGATGGTATGATATTTTCTTTATAAATATCATTTCATTAAAACAGACACCTCATCTGATGTACGTATACGATTGAGCGCATGAAAAATCATTGTCAAGGATTTTCAGTTGTTCAAAGCACATATTACTCCACGTCAACAGAATTTTAATATTCTTCATCAACAGTACCACTCTTTCTGTTGGTTTCTATCCGTGGCCACAGAAGCAATTTTTTCGTTTGTTTGCACAAATCAGAGAGTGAGAAAGACATATACATAGAACAAAAGAAAACAACAATGCAATAATAACGGAGAACTTTGTGCTCTGTTTTTGCAAGAATCCTGCAAAAAATTTTCTTCCTTCTTTCTTCGCTGAAAGGACGCATTGCAACCAAGTAAGGTGAATAGACACCTGTATACATTTACCGCATTCAGTCTGCCAAGGCTTGTGCTTCTTTTCAAACGATAATGAACGCAATGTGACAGATATAGTTCTATTAGTAGGCTTTTGAGGGTTTCACCAATTTTTTGAAGTTGTCAAAACGATAGACATGCAATTTGCAAATAAAAGCCGCTATGGCTCATGAGAAACCAACTTTTTTGCTTTTTCAACTGCCAATGATTCTCATGTTGAAAAATTAGTGCAAGTCTTTCGAATATTTGCCGAATTCCTAATGGTCTTGTAACACTAGAAAAGAGTTTTATATTTGACCTGAGCTAATACCGTTTGATAAGATAAGACGGTGTGGGTGGTGTGGGTGTGTGTGTGGGTGTGGGGTGCAGGTGTGGCGTGTGGGTGTGGGTGTGGGTGTAGGTGTGCGTATTTGGGTGTGGGTGTAGGTACCAGTCGTTCATACATCCATACTCACACCCAAAGCCACAGCCACAGTCACAGCCACCCCGAGAGACATGGGACAGATATCATAATACACGGCTTCCGAAGATCACCACAGGATGTGGCAAATACCTTTCAGTGACTGTCATGGACGATGCCGTGTATGAAAGACATTGTTGATGTATGATCGAATACTTAATATGAATAGCGGCTCTGCACAATATATTAACTTATTTATTACAGCTCTTTTAAAGTATTCAATAAAACGAAAGGTGAACGAATGTGTCGCAAAGTGCATACAATACAACAATCTTCCTGTGATTAACAGCAGCAGCTGCATCGTGTTTTACATTTTAATCTCGTAGAGATTGTGCTAACAGCTATTTTACTATGAAGTCATTTTTCGTTGTTTTTTGTTTTGGCAATAGATACAGTTTCAATTCATTGAGTTAGAAAGAATGAATTCTTTTTTTATAAGACACAAGAAAAGAAGTGTTCAGTAAAATTATGAAAATAAAGAGATTCTAAGTTTTGAATTGATTAGATAAGATTTCATTAAAAGAATAAAATAAATCTCAAGGAAAGATTGCCGTCACCAAAGAAATTAGTAAAACACTTTTTTTAAATTTAACTAACGAAAACAAAACTTTCTTTTTAATATTCTTATTGGGGTGTGGGGTGGGTGTGGGTTTTGAAGAAGAGAATATCAACACCCACCCCCATACCCTTGAATAATATGTTATGGAGGACTTTGTCATCTTTCATATCTCTCGAGGCATCCCCAGCATGCCCGAGATTCTGGATATGTGACACCACTCCCATTAGATCATTTTATTCTTATTATCATTTCATCAAAATTTTGCGTGACTGAAACTTGACTCATAATTAGCTGTATGAACTCGTCGTTTATCGGTTCAGATCATTTCGCAAAAAATGAGTACTTTCAGAAACAAAAGACGAAGACGATCAAAAACTAGGAAGAAATCAAAATCTTCAATAATGTTCATTTTACAAAAAATTATAGCAATATCGTGTAAATACGCAATATGTGATTGACCTTGTTTAAATCAAAACTTGCATTTTTTTTTCAGAAATAGAATCCTATGATGTGACCAAACTTTCGCGACTAGGCCTGATCTTCTAGAAATTCAAAACATTGAACGTGATACTGATTTTGTGGGACCTGGATTCCTACCGTGCATATCTAGCTACGACAGTTCTCTTTGTCTCACTCTTTTATTCGTCAAATATTGTTGAGATCGAGCTAGAAAAAGAATTAAAAATCAGGAGAAAATCTTAAAAATCAGCTCCTAAATTTAGGAAAATTCTCATCAGAGGAAAAGCTTAAAAACCAGGAGTCTCTTAGTCAAATCAGGAAATTTGTCAACCCTGATTAAGACCATGCTGGTTTTGCACCGCGTGACTTAAGACGTCCTTGATAGTATTCAACAAAGATTCTATTAAAATAAGTCACAAATGCTGGCGATAATTGATTGAAATTCACATCTCGTTTATTTCCAGTCGGTCGATACCAAGCTGCACTATAATTAAGACGAAGATCAAAGAATATTGCTGGTACACTGAATGATTTGTCGAGTTCAGAAAGAAGATTTTCTTTTGTAATCATTTGATTCATAGCACTTGTTTCTAAGAATAAATTGAGATGTTCGATAGATTCAGCATTTTTACGACTTAAGGCATGTACCAAATGCACCATAACAACTAGCACATCCTTGTTAAGTTCCTGTTGATCATGAATAACAGATTCAATATAATGTCCAGCAAAATTACGAATGAATCGAAGTAGTTTAAACACATCAGCATCGGTTTCTGTGCGGATATAACGATTTTCATTTGGTACTCCTTCCAATCGATGAGAATCTTCACATTTCTCACCAAAAGTACATCGATTATTGGCGTACCATTGTGGACAAAGATTCGTTTGTCGATATGAAGTCTGATGTTCACGACGACATTGATTCGAAGACTTCGAACATTTCCCCGTTGTGATCATGTCGACACAGAGTTGATGATCCCAGAAAAGCATTTCTGTTGCCAGAGCACTTTCGGATGTTTCATAAATATAAATGAATAATAACAATCCTTTTTCCAAACAAGTAAAATCAATTCTATCTGTTTCTTTCCAATTGAAATAATAGTTGGCGGTTTGACTGCTGGTTGAATTACTAGGATTAAGAATCGTGTTGCCAGTCTTTTTCGATAATTCATCGATTTTAGATATTTTCGACGCCATTTGGCTGAGAATGAACACAGTCTGAGGAATATTTTTATAAATGCCGAATGTTTTCACACGTGCTAAAAGTCATTGCACAACATATAGAGAGGAAAGAAAAATCAAATGATTTTTTTTCTGTCGTTCTCTAAACAAAACAGTGGTGACAAACAAGCAAAACTTTTCTCATTCTTGTATGACCTTCTGCGTAAAGAACGCCAATAATGGTGGATAAGGGTGACAGCGATTGAATAATGATCTTTCGCAGTGACTCAGTATCGATGAAATGGAGCTGCCAATCAAAGAGTATATGAGACAGATTTGCATTGATGGGTAATCAACACCCTGAGTTACTACATAGCCTGTGAGAAAATTTACACTCATGCTGTACAAGTCTGCCTTTCAAAAGATTTTGCTTTATTGCTATAGATGATTGACGTGCAAGCACTATTATGGACTATTGAATCATAATCTATTCAACGATAGAAAGGGAACAAACATAAATGCGTGAATTGCGCTGATATTGTGCGATTTGATGTAAAACATAGAAAAAAATAAAAATAAAGATGAAGAATATTTGAGTTATGCATTTGATAGAGCTTCCTTCATTGTATAAAAAACAAGTGTTTTCCCAACTGTCAGTTTTGTGTTTCGAAAAAAAACTCGAGTTTTTCTAAAAAATGCATATTTTCCCGAATATCTTGACACAATCAGATTAATAATATTAGAAATATTTTGACGAAAAAAATCACTAAATGAGTATTTATATCATGTTATCATATATCAATCGAAAGGTTTTGCAACGGAGAATTTAATGAGCATACGGAGAAGTTGATTCACACATATACATAAATATGCTAAGGGCGTAAAGGTGCGGGTGACACCATCAGTTCCTCATCGTCACTCTATCCTCAGACGTTTTCATCATCCAAGATAAGACCAATAGTCAGTGAATATTCGAAA